GAACTAAATTTATTTCTTCGCAGTATTTTAGTACTTTTTCTAAATGATTTAAACATGAATCAAATGATGACCAAACACTGAAAAAGTCGTTCATAAAAACTTTAATTCTTTTCTCAATTAAGTCACAGAAAATGGACATCATGCACATTTGAAAAGTTGCAAGTGCATTGCATAATCCAAATGACATCTGTCTAAAAGCAAAAGTCACGTTAGGACTAGTGAATGTGGCCATTTTTTGATCCTCAAGAGCTATAGGAATTTGGTGATAACCGGTATATCCATAAAAAATAGAAATATATGTGCCCCGCTAGCCTGTCTAACATTTGATCCAAAAAAAGGTAAAGTAAACTGATCTTTCCATGTGGCGAGATTTAATTTTCTATAATTAATGCAAATTCACAACCCAGTGACTTGTCGAGTCAGAATCAATTCATTCATTTCATTAATAGATGCAATCACTCCTCCTTTCTTAGGAACACAGTGGATATAACTAACCCAAGCACTGTTCAAGATAGGATAAATAATTCCGGCATCTAAGCACTTTATAATTTCTTTATTTATAACTTCTTTCATTATTAGGTTTAGTCTCCTTTGAGGACTATTAGAATTAACCATTTTTCCTGATGAATTATCTTCAATCATTGGAAGTGTTTGAGATTAATTTATTCCAAATTGATTTATCTTTCTTGTTATTGTAGCTACTTGAGATACTAACATAGAAATAACATCAGAATCATGAACACTGGTTGTTATTTTTATATTTACCCTTTTTGAAGACTATTGAAAATTATTAGTAGTCATTTCTTCAATTAAAGAATATGTTTCATCAAAAGGTTTTGACATTAATGAACCATTAGCTGCAACATCAATAATAAATCTAAGAGGTCCTATTAGCCCATTATAAAATGTTTAAATTATTAATCAATCGGGCAAAAAGTGATGTGGGAAATTCATAAGAAGTTATTTAAAGCGTTTCCGAGCCTCGTATATTGATTCCCCTTTAAACTGACAAAAAGTTGTAATATCATTTCTAAGCTTATCAGTCTTTGAAGGTGGAAAATATATAGTCAAGAATTTTTGTGCTAGTTCACTCCAAGTTCTAATAGATCTAGGTCCTAATGAGTTCAACCACATTTTAGCTTTATCTCTTAAGGAAAAAGAAAAAAACCTAAGTCTAGCAGCATCGTTAGCAACACCATTATACTAAAATGTGGCACAAAGTTCTAAAAAACTTACAAGATTTAAGTTGGGATTTTCAGATGGAGTTCCCCCAAACTGATTATTTTGTACCGTCAAAATGATAGAGGGTGTGTTGACTTCTACGATAGGAGTTTGTATACTAAGATGAATCATCTATCGTAGGGTTAGCATAATCTCTTAATGGTTTTTGTACATTATCATTAATTTGATTTTCTAAATTATCATGTAAAGTATTTTCCATTTCTTGGAAATTGTGAAGTTCTTTTAGTTTTCTAATTTTTCTAATAGTTCACTCCAAGTCAAAATAGTAAGGCACTAATCCTAATCTTGTACTACGCATAAACTATTCAAGATAAATAACAAGAACAAGCAAAACACACAAATTAAAATAGTATATATATATATATACACATAAATAAACGACACTACAGTTTTTTTTATAATAATTATGCAGTTCAAATAAAAATTTTCTTAAGTCAAAAGGTCTCGTTGCTATCCCTAGCAATGATGTCAAAAACTTGACCCGACCCATAATTACACAATTATTTAAGTCCTGAAAGATGACCAAAAGCTTTACCCAATTTATATTAAGGGGTTAGTGTGCAAAATAAAATTTTATGTAAAGTTAATAGAATGACTTATACACCAGGGATACTACGCAAGTATACATATCATTTTAAGTAATATATGACTATAATAAAGTCCTAAGTATCGATCCTATAGGGATATGCAAAACTTATAGATTGACTTTAGTAAAATCATCTTTAAATTACTGTTAACTTAATTAGAAAATGATAAAAACTTTTTTATGTATTAACTAATCCTATAAAATTTAAAAGGAATGCTAAGCACGCTAAGAAAATGTAGAATACTAAACAATCTAACAAACTAATTTATATGTAAAATTACCACTAACCAATTCTAATCTAACAGTGTATGGAAGAGTTCAAATTGTATAAAACATCCTTTCCCTTGCAATGAGTTCATAATCAGTGTAGGAATCTAATAATTTTAAATATAATTAATGTATTGTGTCAAATAGGAGCATACATATTCTTTACCCTCTCTCAGATGTATAAAGAACATTGGCTGATCCAAAGCTAAATACCTAAACCCGTGGTTAGGCTGGGAAGATACTAGTTGTCACCTAGAGTTCCCACGTACCCTTCACCTAAAGGCTAACATTTTGTTTTAGGTTCCAAACAACTCGATCAAATTGGAAATTTTAGTCTGTCACTCTAAAATATCCAATTTACGCCCATCAAATCTTTTTTCCTATTTATTTGCACTTAACCCCATAGACTGCATTCTCATTCATGAGACCAAATGTAATTCTTATTATGTTGAGAAAAGCATAGCCCTTTCGTGTTATTATGTTTCACAATAGATTTCAACAAATCAATTGGCCATATCGATAAGTAAAATAACCATAGAGTTTAAATCATCACAATTTATGGAATTAAAAGTACTTCTTCTAAACTTTATTCCTACACATAATTATTTCTTATTGTTGTGAGAAAGACAAAGGAAACTACCCAGATCTCATGAGGAAGACACAACAACACATGGATTTATAGATAAATAAGATTAAGTAAAACAAAAAAAATGCACAATTTATCTAAAACACCTTTCCAAGCAATCATTCTAGTTCCTTTAAATTACTCACTCTCCGTACAGTTCCACTCCAATCTCACTTAGAACTGTAGTGAAGAAGATATCTCCCACTTCTCCTCTTCTACTTCTCCTCTTTTCTCCTCTTCTCCTTCAAATCTATGCAAGTCACCAAGGAAATCCTTCAAGCCTCCAAGAATTTCCAAGCCCTTCTCTCTCTCTTCCAAAACTCCTTCTCCAAATGACTCTCTCTTAGACTCTCTAGAAGTCACTTTAAATAGAGCTCTCAAAATCACCAAGTGTCACTTCAAGCACCCCTTTAAAATTCTTCCACATTCATTGAACATTCTAAAAAAACTATTTCTGGCGCCTAGGCGCCAAATTCTATCGTTTAGGGGCCAATCTGAGCTTAGGCGCCAATCTCTCTGTTGTATGGCACCTAGGCTCCAGATCCTGGGGCCTAGTCGCCTGGTCAACTTTGGCCTTTTCTTGCTTCCTTTGACTCCAAATTGATCTATTTTCATTCCATTTGCTCTACTTGCTCCAATAAATGTACTTACAACCAAAAACATCAAAAATACATTTTATTAAAATACAATAACCTTAAAAATGGGCATTAAATGTGCAAATAAAATTAACATATTTTAGACATGTTAAGTGGAATGATTGATTATCAACAGAGGTTGGGAAAGGGTCCGCTACACCTCTCCACCTGTAGTTGTCCTTATCATTTGCGAATTCTTTGTCAATGCAAATAAACCAATGGACGAAAGATATTTGAGAGAGAAAAAATGGGCAACTTTTGATCCTCAAACCATAAATTCAATCCTTGAACTTGTCAACATCCCATATTGTAAGTATTTTAATTTTTTGACTCCTGAATATCAAGAAATTATCAAAATTCTCACTAACTCCACTGCTCAGTGGAAAGTCGGGGAGGATAAGATTGTCAATTTTCCTAGCATTGTCATGAATAAGGAGTTGAAAGCTATTAATGATCATGCCCACATCAATGGAGCGACTCATGCCCACCACTATTCTGCCTAATATCACTAATGAGTGATCCGTCCTCAATTACTATAGTCAAAGGGATAAAACCATTTATGTGGGCACAATCATCCATTTTTCTCTTCACAAATTAATGACAGGCATACCACTGTAGGATCGGGCTACCCTAGCCTTATTATTCCTCTTTGTGGGAAGGTGAAGGTTTTTGTGGAGAAGTGGGAGAAACAGTTAAACCCTGTGAAACCCATTACTAAAGCCATCATTTTATGTTATGAGAGAACATTCACTTGCGAGAGAGGAGAGGGTTCCTCTAGACCTACCCCATCCCAACCAACACCCACCATATTGATATATGCCATGTTCGAATTCCTGGAAGCCCTGGCAGGGGACTAGGTCATTATGTAGTGGGAGCTACATGACTTGCATGAGAGGACCTATTTTTATGTGTTTCAACACCAACAACAATATCTCTTCATACACCAGCACTTGTGGCCCAGTAGGAACTATTCCAGCGGAAGCAAAGGAACACTGGCATGGATCCTATGCAATTCCCAACGACACCTTGAGTTGTTTGATGATGGGATCGAGACCATTGAGGAGGATGATGATGAAGAAGATGCATGAGTTATCATGCTTTATGGATATGTTATGTTGCGATTTGTTTGGACTATGAGTCTCTTGTATTTATATTTTTTGTGTTATGTTATGTTTTCGAGATTATATTATGCATTCTTTGTATATTCATGTGATTTGCCCGCTATTGAGATTGTAATGTGATTTATGTGGTGTGTGTGGTTTGATATGTGTCGAGCATATGGTAAAGATTTGTGTTGAGTCGGGGTACGGTGAAATTTATGATATGTCTAATGGCAATATGTATGATTCAAACCACAATACTAAACCAATATGTCGTAAGATAAGTGCATTTGTTCAACAAATTTTTAAAACTAAAGATATAATTACAAGTAACACATTTAATAATTAGTTATATATTTTAAGTAATTATATCTCAATATCATCGTTACAATCATTTGAAAGGCTAGTTACATCTTGTCTTTTCTCAACATCACTTTTTTAATCAATTATATCTTGTCCGATTATCGTCTCATTCTCCGTCTCATCTGAAATCCAGCAAAAGAAATATTTTAAATTTTGATTAATTTTCTCAAGGCTTCAACAATTTCAGACCGTTTACATGCCCTCCACTCGGGATGCGGCGAAGGCTTTTATCTGACAATTTATTTTCTTGGCATCAGAATTGACCGCAACCGACTTTAAATACCGACGCGCAATCTTCTTCCCCGCTTTTGTTTTTTTCCCATGCGATTAGGTCGTCCCTCCCGGCAGAGCTCACGCATTCCAACTCCGCCATTAAAAAATTCACTAAAGACCAAGGGAATGCGAACGAATAATCTTCTGCTGGAGTAGGGGTTGGAGGTGCAGGAACCTGGGATGGAGAGCCAAAGGGTCGTGGTGGTGGTAGAGGAGGCTGATGCAGCTCGCACCGCTCTCGAATGGGCGGTCCGGAACTTTATCAGGTCGGTCGATTCGCTAACCCTTCTTCATGTCTACCCCGCCACAAAGTCCAGAGTGAAGCGGCGCCGGCTCCGCCTTAGGGGATTCCAGCTCGCCCTATCCTTTAAGGATCTCTGCAATGGGATCGCCGAGGTTTGCTTCCGAATGTTCTTGTTGGTTCTTCTTTGTTTTGATAATCGGCACTTGATCTTTCAAACATGGCACAGAAAACACAAACAATCTATGGATTGATGATTTTACATTGTATTTAGTGATTTGATCATGATCCGGTCCTTTCTTGATTGACATCCATGGAGATGAGTAGTTCTCCGCTCCTATTTCTCTTAGTCGATTTCAGAGTTAATTTATATAACAGGCTAAGGTGGAGATCATAGTGATGGAAGGAGATAAGGGCGCGGCCGTGGTTTCGTTCGTGAGCAAGATCGGTGCATCCACTCTTATCGTTGGGCTCCATAATCAAAGCTTTCTTTACAAGTAAGGATTGAAGTTTTTTCTGTTGCTCCGTCTTCATTTTCCTATCTTCAAAAGCAGAATTGGGTTAGTTACAGTCATTTGACCACTCCCTGTTTTCTGTTAGCTTTTCTTTTCTCTCTTGGATGGTACATAAAGCCTGCAGAATGATGTCGTTGACCTACCAATTTTTTTCTCGATTAAATCGCTCTCTTCTTTTTCAGAAGAAACATTCCAAACCTCGGCACGAGAATTCTCAACTGTAGAATTCTTGCGATTAAGCAGCACTCGTCAACTCACTATGGATTAGTAAATACCGAATTCTCTCAGATTGAGATCACAAGGCTTCGGTAAGTCGTCACTATCTAGCAACTCAAGAGCTACTTGAATCAAACCAGTTTTAATTCTGTACTGATTTAAAGAAGTGGTGATCAGCAGCATGCCACAGCCGAAAACTTGTTTTCTAATCTTCCTTTCTCCTCTCGGAAGGATGTTGAAGAGATCCAGAAGTAATTAGAGGATCAAAAAAGGAGGTTTTGATTGTTTTTTAACAGTGAACAGGAATTGAATCTGCAGATAAAACAAACAGAAATGCCACAGTTCGGTAAATTGCATTTACCAATTTCATTACAGATGTTTTATTCACTCATTTTTGTACATGATATAATAAATTTTAATAATTTATTCTATGCTTTCTCGACACTTTCGTTTGATTAAGTAGAAGAAATGATCTTTCACTATACGATTATCCTTCTCCCTTTCTATTTCTTTCTCCTCTCATAGAATCTCTTATCTAACTAGTGTGAATTCAGAGAGTCCAACAAGCTTAATTCCTGTTGTTCTAAGCTCCAATTTGGATTTAAGTTAAATAGGATCTAGTAAGGTATTAAATCTATAATCATGTTTGGTTCAGTTATCGCTAAATCTCGTTAAATTCTTCTAGTATGTTTGGCGAATTCGAGAAACGAAGATCGAGGTACCTCCTTAAATTCCTTAAAAACATTTCTCTATCGGATTTACTAAATCCGGAATTAACATTACAAAGTTCAAAAATTTAGATTTAGGGGGTGTTGAACTTACATCCCATTTTTTCTTATTTGGCTGGATTTACATTAAATACGCGTAAATTCAGCCTGAAATCCGGCTACCAAACATCCCCTAAGTTGTTTGTTGTATAGAGAAAAAACTTAGAATTAGGGGAACTTGCATCCCATTTTTCTTATTTGGCTGGATTTACATTAAACATTCGTAAATTCAGCCTGAAATCCGGCTACCAAACATCCCCTAAGTTGGTTGTTGTATTGAGAAAAAACTTAGAATTTAAACTTCACCTTCTTTGAAGTGCTGATTGTTAATATCAAGTTAGGATACAACTGGGGTGTTAAATTTCTGTTGTAATTTATTTAGGAAGGCTCAATTGCAATGTATTTACATATCTAAAACCTAAACTTCAATTTTTACATACATACCGCTCCACTTTTGCATGAAAAAGATGTATTTCTCATTTTAAAAGTTAAAAGGATGGTTTTGATGTGATATGAATAAGAATTGACTGGTAAGTATGTACATGCCCCTAGTTTAGGAAGATTTACATACCTGTCACACAATTTCTATGTATTTACATAATGTTAACTTTGATATTTACATTAATACTTCTGCATGAAAATTTGTATTTCACCTCTAAAAAACTATTAATAATGGCATTTTTGTTGTGATATGAAAAAATGGAGTGTTAGAAATGTTAAAAACAAAGTTTAGCTATTTGATATGTAAATTCATAAAAATTGTGTGATATGTCATGTTTGTAGATAAATCAAGTCGATGTCCATTAAAAAATTATTCGTGCTGTTGTTGTGTCCCTCCCTTTCAATACGCACGCCTAATCTGAGAAGGATGAGGGATGCCCTAACTTGATGAAGAAGATGAACTCCTATCCATCTGATTATCATCGAGTGGTTGAGATTGATTTGCCTCACAACCAAATTAAACTCTTATCTAACGAATTTAATCGTGGCCATTAGATCAAAATCTGATGGATGTGACTGCCCCATTATTTCAAATAATGCACGAAGGCTTTAGGACCTATAGGGGCACATATATCAATTTTTTAGATGATATTCTTAATGATTGGATGGTCGGACCAATCATTGCTAAAGAAATTACAACTGAGGATTAGGGCTGTAAACGAGCTGAGCATGAGCGAGCTCAGGCTTGACTCGTGTTCGGCTCGTTCGAAATAGCTCGTGTTCGAAATTGGCTCGTAAACAGTGTGTTCGTGTTCGGCTCGATTTAAATTTTCGTGTTGTGTCCGGCTCGTGTTCGGCTCGAAATTGACTCGTTAAACTAAAATTGAGAAAAATAGATGTAAAGTGTGGGATTTGAACCTGTATCAAATATATACAGAAGAAGACACTAACCACATTGACACATAAGGTGTTATGATTTAAACTTAAACATAAATATATGTAATATATTATTATATAAATAATATATGTAATATATTGTTAAATAAAAAGTTATATAATTTTTTTTTCGAGTCATTTCGAGCCGAACACGAACAATAATAACGAATAACTCGTTTACATTTCGAGCTTAAAAATTTGTTCGTGTTCGGCTAGTTAGGCTTAACGAACGAGCCGAAAACGAGCCGTTCACGCACACGAACAACGAGCCAAATTGACAGCCCTACTGAGGATTAAATCTTGAACTGGAAAGATTAAAGAAGGATTAAATCAATTTAAACATTATTAGAATTAAAATTAATAAAAATTAAAAATAAATTACATGATTTTCTTATTTGGAATAGATTAAATAAAAAATAGCAAGCTAAACATGATACACAAATCTGCTTATTTTAATTAAAAAAATAAATAAAACACAAGTTACATAATGAAGTATTTATTGAATAAAATAATAATTTTATGCCTCTAATTTTTTTATATTAAAATATACTGAATAATGATTAAAAAAAAAGAATAAAAAGTGGCAGTGCAATCTTGCGACCACAGCCTTAATATGGAGCATTTGTTTTGTTTTCGGCTCTCATGGATCCCCTGCCATGTGCAACACATGCTTGGCACAATATACACAAATTAAGATAGAACTTCAAGATTCATTTATTGCTTTAAAAAGTCGTAAAAGTTTAACTATAAAAGGAGTCGCTTTTTCCAGTCTATAAAAGAGTGCGAAACTTCTAAATTATTTATGGGTAGACTTATAGTTTGATAAAATTACTAAATTGACCTTTATCATAAAATGTTTGACAAACCTAGAAAATTTTGAATGTAGAGTCCTCTTTTATGATGTAATCAAGAGCATGGAACCTCAATTTGCCCTTTTTGTGTCTCTGATAGGTATGAAATGTGATATTGTTATATATATATATATTGATATATATATATATATATATATATATTTTTTTTATTTTCTTACATTTTTGTCTCTTTTTTATGCTTTTCAATGGTATATGTTTTCTAAGTGTATAGTATACATGTAAAAGACATCTTTTGGAGGACAATTGTAAAAATATGACCTGGCGTCCCAACGCCTAATACATAGCACCATGTTGCCAGCTCGATAGTGATGTAACGCAAGTGAAGTAACGCCTTGACACCCATAAGGGACAAATGGGAGTCAAAATCACAAGAACAAGTTACTGTGTCACTGGAATTAGGTGCCCCGACGCCTAGTGCACCAGTGCCAGAATGCAACACCACAATGCCATAATTCTAACTTCAAATTCAAGAGAAAAGAAAGGCAGCGCCAGTGAGCAGTGCCCTATCACCTCAATTGAGCGTCACAACACTACCTTGTAGTGCCCTGATGGTTGTGTTCGACCTACTTTTTAGGTGGTTCAACGAGGCTTTGGCCAAATTTTGTATTAAAAAGAAGAGTGTTGGGAGAACAGTGGGGGGGGGGACACTTGTTTTTTCTTGTTTCCTAGGCCAGGGTTTCATTTCTTTGTGGTATGTATGGGTGTTAGTGTGAGTGTGAATTAAGCACGTGAGAAGATCAAGTTGGGAGAAGCATACACTGGGGAGCAAGGATTCAATTCTTGACTTTTGTATCTCCTTTTATTTGTAAACATAGTTTTGATTATAATTAATTTCATGTTTGTTTCTTTTTTTTTTTCACTCATGAGTAGTACTTAGATATTTTTCTTCTTTTGATTGGCTTTAAAGTTCAAAGTTGATCCATTTTAGATTATTGAAATGTGAAATGAATAAGTTGATGTTTTAACCTTAATTCGTAATTTACATTTCAAACCTGACATTTGAATTGTTAATACATATCATAATCTAGGGCAATCAGAAGAAGACTAGAAGCAAAATTACATTAAAGCACATGCTTTTAGTGGAATGAAAATGTTGTCATTGAATGTTTACATCTCATAAGGGATTCAGATTCATGATAGCTTTTGTAAGGTTAAGAAAATTTAACCATACTATGAAACTGTAACGCTTCTTATATCTTAGAAGAAAATAAAAAGTACCAGTCCCCAATTCTCAATCACAACAGGAGAATCTAGTATAAGTACTTAGGCTTTGATCAAACCAATTCAAATAAGATTTGAAATCATTATAAACTCAATTACCTTGCATTTAGATTTTTACTTTAAGATTAGGATTTTTAGACACCTTTCAAAACCAAAATCATAAGCCTTTGAAATAAACTAAGAATTAATATACTAGTAATTAAACTAATATGAAATATACAAAGTTCATCGTGAGATGGATAGCTCAAACTCTGAGATCTGCACACTATTTGATCGATAAATATACTTGTGTGATTAATAAAAGCATCACTATATTGCATATCAAGTTTTTGACATTGTTGTTAGGGAACTAAATTAATTTTTCAATTTATGTTAATACTAAATGAGAATTTTAAGTTTAAGTTAAAAAGTTATAGCGTTATTTATATTGTATTTGCTTTGATTTGTTAGCAATTGTTAATATATTTTGTTGTTTCAAATTGTTAGGTACTGCAATAGTTCTTTATTGAAAATTCAAAATTTTGTGAATATTTCCTACTTGTCTTTTGTGTTGTTTAATTGAGCTTATTGTTGTGTATTTATTATTTTATAACTTTGTGATCATTATGTTGATTATTAGTTTAGGGTCACTAGTTAGTCTTAGATTGTATGGGTAGGGCTCAATCTTGTGAACTTATTTGTTTCAATCTAAAATTTAAAGAATCACTAAAAAAATAAAAATAAAAATAAATAATAAATAACACTTAGAGAAAATGACAAACTCATTGAAAGAAAACAACTAGCTTAGCCTGCTTAGGGATATTGTTGACACTATGGTAAATGAAATACATCATAGTATCAACAATCCTATCAATCAAGCCCATACTTTTTAACTCAAACCTAAAATTATTCAAATGCTTCAAAATACTCATTTTGGAGGATTGCCTATAAAAGACCCTAATTCCTATAAAAGACCCAAATTTACATATACCAAGCTTTTTAGAGTTATGTGCGACATTTTCATATAACAATGTTTCTGCCGATACTATTGAGCTTAGGTTGTTTCCTTTTCCCCTTAAGAGATAAATATGTGTGGCTAAATTCTTTATAGCCAGAGTCTGCCATAACTTGGAATGAATTTGCACATAAATTCTCAGCTACATGTTTCCATCCATCTAAAAGAACAAGCTTAGAAAAAATGTTATTTCCTTCACCCATATAG